GTCTTTTGGATAAAATATGCTAATTGTGGATACCCACGTAAATTAATTACAGGGGTTCCAGCCGGCAGCTGTTTTATTCAAATGATAATTTTGTTTTTAACGCGTCGAGTGAGAGAAATGGAGTGTGCTGCCAAAATGCGTACACGTGTGCTTGTTGTTTGATTTTTCTTTGCATTATTATTGTGTACATATTGCACTACGTTGTAAAGCTGAATAAAGTTGACTTACGTACTTTCATATTTTCTTTTAATTATTTTGAAAATTCTTTTTCGTTTGCATTTTTGTAATTATGTTTACTTTTAAAATTTAAATTGTTATTTGTGTTCTTTTCTATATTCCTTTAGGTAAACAAATGGTCAAATAAAGTGGAGGTGTAGATTAACGAGTTTTTGAAAGTTAAACTGCGATCATGTCAAGATAGTTAAAAGATAAAGGTCCGCTTTTTTTATTTAAGGCGTATTCATATAAAAAAGAAGAAGGAAGAAAGAAGACAAGAACAAAGAAGCTCGTCGGAATGGTGATTGCCACTAGCGAGGTATAGAGTTCCTACGTATGATCAAACTGTAGGAACTTCATACCGTGCTCTTGGGTTTGCCAAACTTCTGCGTATGCTGCAAGCAGAAGAATGTTATAAAACATGGAAAAAAAGAAATATGAATTATCTTTCATTTTTCATTAATTAATAAAATGAAATGAATTTTTATTTTCATTTTATCTACAGTTATTTTAAAATGTTGATACTATAAAAAAGGATTTTATTACATTCGTCATAGTTCTAGTTAAATAAAACATTGGTTTGTGGTCCCTTCTAATAAATGATATATTATGTTTATTTATAGAAATTTAATGTACAAAATATCAGACTTAATTCAAATAACATTTTCTCCAAGACAATCAGTAGTGTATTTAAGATATTCATCGTTTTTAACCGAGTTAAAAAACATGGCGTTTCTATATACGATACGTATGTTTTCTATTATGATTGTTCACTGATTTCTGGAAAAGGGCTGAAACAATTTAAATTATTATTTTTTATTATTAAGTCGGTTACATATTTTAGGAGTGGTTAAATATAAATTTGCTGAAGAAACTTACACAACAAAGAGTGGAAAATTACAGGGTTAAGTTCTTAATTTAAAATTCTTGTTATTTATCTTGAACTTGTAACATTCCTTAGTCCACACATAAATGTAAAAAAAAAGAAAAAGTATGATCTCAATAACTAAAAATAATAAAATAATTTTCATATAATTGCTTCTCGATTCAGGGCTTCATTCTTCAAGACACGATGTCTTGGTATCAACTTCAGGAGTTATTATACCTATTATCACTCGTTTTCATCTTATATACTGTTTTCATAACTAGTCATATGAAGTGTGATATAAAATTATATATAATTTTTATATTTATGTTAATGTAGTATTGTATAGTATACTTCACTGTATTTTATTAATAGTTTAAATAAAATTAAGTATCTATCTATTACATAGTATAAAACAAAGTCCAATGTCGTAATTAACCTGGAGTGGAGTTGGAGTACCTTTGATTTTTAATTATTGTAAATTGTAAATTGTCTAACATCATAAACCTTATACATAAGAAAGAATTTGAACAGTAACTTAATTATCAAAGTTGCTTGTAAAACTTCAATGCTAAAAGTATATCATAACGTATTTTAATTTTTTAATATAGCATATCAATTGTATTAGATTTTTGCACCATCATCACCGGCGTGTACATTATTTTTGGACATAATAGACCAATTTACATAAGGTCATAATAATTCAGTACAGTAGAGAACCGCCTTCTAGCAAAGAACAATGACTCAGTTCAGTTATTGTACTTATACTTAATATACTTCTTCAAACCAATCCACCGTTTGAACGACAATTAGTGATTAATAGTGGTTTTAGGAGGTGTTATATTTTTTGCTGACTTCAAAAAGGAAAAGGTTCTCAATTCGGCTGTCTGCCTGTTATTTATGTATGTATGTTACCCGATATCTTCGCCCATTGTGAACCAATTATATATATAGTGGGTATCGATACAAAGAGTATCGAAGAATGAAAGAAAAATAAAACCTGTACATTGACAGATAACTAGCGCCAGTTGACTGGTGATCTATTATAAAAGCCTTACTTACAAATTTTACTTTCTTTACCGTGTTAGGCAGGCGTGTTTGTGTGTAAAAACTTTCCATCACCACTTATTGTAATATGAGTTTCGCATATTCAACAGTAAGCTATATATTATACGTGGTAGAGGCATGCTGCAGCTATGTTATGGTTGTAGCAGGAATGGGTCGACTCGTCCGGGGAAGTACCACGCTCACACAGAATACCAGCGTGAAATTGCAGCTTAAAGCTGCTGATTTTAGTATGGTGAGTATTGCGAACCAGGCAAGGCATTTCATCTTAGTCCTCAGGGGTGATAACAAATACACCTTTTGATTCTCTGTCGAGGGAAGCCACACCACTTACCATCTGGTGGACTGTGTGCTCGTTTGTCACGCTTTTTCTATAAAAACAATTTATATTATATATGTCGCAGTAAAAGGGCACAGTTCTCTTTTTATTCCCGAGAAAGTTTTAAGGGCAAGGAAAAGTTCATCGCCGGCCACTCACCGCTACGTGTTGTCAGACTTCACATGTCCTCAATTTCTTTTTAATTACTCACACATGCAGGTTTTCTCACGATGCTTTCTTTGACAAGCGAGCACGGTTAGCTCGCGCACTATAAAATTACGTGAACGCTTATCCCTTTGAGCCTTAAAGAATATGCTCTAAGGTTTATCCCCTAAGCTACCACTCCACACATTGGTGACAATCCTCATACAATAATATTGGTATAGATTTTTTGCTTTTATGGACAGTTTATCAATATCATTGCGAAACGTAAGCCCGTATTTCGCTTTCAATTACCCAACAGACTTATCGCTTATATCCCGGCTAGTGGAAACCGTATACTTTTGTGTAATAATAGAATAGATTTTTAATGGCCCATACAATAATATTAGCGTAATATTATTTTAACTCATTACTTATATGTGCAAAATACATAAATGAATAACAAACATCTATCACAAGTATCAACAATATACAAACAACTATCTACGAATGACCTTGAACAAAAACTTAAATTAAATTCGAAAGCCTCACTCAGATCAATGCGAATGCGAACATTTCGCTCCTTTACACAGATTAATAATTTAGAGGTGATGAAGATACGAGATGGTCTAAGTAAGTAAAACGCGCATTTATTTATGAGTGAAAAAATATACACGATAACCCTAATGAGCCTTTTGTACTCACTTATTTTTCATCTAGGCTAAATTAGCCTAAAAAAACCATACATCCATTACAACCTACCTAATTTTTATACGTGGTAGAGCCATGCTGCAGCTATATTAGTAGTACCTATAGTTGTAGCACGAATGGGTCGGCTCGATCGGGGAAGGACAACGCCCTCATAGAATACCAGCGTAAAATAGCAGCTTAACACTACTGTGTTTCGTATGGTGAGTGTAGAGAACCGGAGACCCATTTTACTAGAAAAGATGTATTCTATCTTAGTCCACACGGCTGACAACACATCTGCGTTTTAATTCGCAAACGAAGAAAGATGTAGATGTATATGGGCTACAGCAACAACTTACCATCAGGTGGACTGTGTGCTCCTTTGTCACCGTATCCTATAAAAAAAAAGTTCACTGCTGAACATATTCGTAGACCTACTACGTATGTACTAGATTACCTTAAAAAGGGGACGCTTGCCATACTTGTCGCTCTCGGCAGGCGGGTTTTCAAACAACCGTAGTATTTTTATTATTTTAGTTCTTCCCAGAAACGCGTTGCTGACCATCTTCTCATTCATTTTTCTCTGTCGCCTCTCACGATACCCACGGGATGATATGGTGTAGTTAATTCTTTTACACCACCGCTACATGGGCTATACAAATGTTACTATTTTGTCTTATTTAAATTATCTGCTTTGGCACAGTACTTCAATGTGCAACCAGAACCGGTTGCAAATTTTAGCGCTCAAGCTTAGTCCTACCAGCCTAACCCTGCTAGGATGATGATCTTCTTGAGTCGACCAACCACGGCCAATTCAAGTATCACTTACCTACGTAGAATTTATTATAACAGCACAAAAGTATACGCCTCAATGAAACACTAACTCTATTTTACCTGTGCCTGATTGGATAAGGGCGTGGGCAAGTCCAGTACAGGGACGATCATTAGATATATATCCCACACACTCATGGAGGCCAACATGTTTATAAGTAACCGACTTATCAACAATTTCTTGGAAGTTATAAATGATACATTCGATATCTTTGTATCTGTCGAAACTAAACATGTAATATCATTCAATTCTTTCTGTATACGTTGTAGAGCCATGCTGCAGCTATATTATATTATGGTTATAGACGAACGGATGGGTCGGCTCGACCAGAATAAGACCATACTCTTATAAGATACGAGCGTAAAATATCAGCGTAGAGCTGTTATGTTTCGCATGGTGAGTTTACAGAACTGGAGACTTTTTTAGACTTAGGCTCGAGTCAGTCGAGGATAGATGAAGAAATCTATGCACCACACCGAAGGATGTGAGACCTACCATCAAGTAGACTGTGCATTCGTTGGTCACGCTTATTTTAAGTATTAAAAAATCCTAGAGCTTTTCGCGGACTACATCCTTGGCCGTATTAACGTCGCAGCTAACCCTAGTGTAACGAAAACTAGGTAACTATTTTACATATTACCAGAAACCCATAAACATGTATTTTTGCACAAATATTTATATCAGTTGGGATTCGAATATAATATTCGTGGTTCGCTAACTACGTAATCTGACTATTAAACCTCTCAGACTTTATAAAAAAACAACTTATGTAAATGTATGTACGTATGAAATTCAAGTTGCCTATTCATAAACGTTTTCATGCATGAACTATTAACGCTTGGTGTGTACATATGATGCCTATCTCTTTACAGTGCAACATTGTAGTCGTAATTGAATACTCAGTCGACCCGGACAGCACTTCGGTTTTGAAGTTGTTATGGCTGAGAAGTCAATTAAAAGACCACACGTGTCCATTTACAGGCTCATTGGGCCTGCAACTATTTAGCTATGATTATTTTTGCAAAGCAAATGGATTAATAGGAAGAAATAGGTAAGTTTTAAACTTTTTCATATTCATGTTTTTGATGCGATTTCATTATCGATGGAGAGAAAAAAGGTTTAATTTACACTTGATAGTGCACTACGAGTACTTAGTCCCGTGCTTCTCGTTTCTTTATATATTTATTTTTTATAGTAAAATACTAAAATACTAGTAATTCTATAAACATTATTAATATTCCGGTTAGGTAAGCCTAAAATACTTGTGTTGAGTGTGATCCTCGACTTTAACCGTATGTCGGTTCTTATTCGAACCCACGACCAATGGGTTCGTGGTCAGGACTACCATTAGAGTACTGTCATTTAAACATTTTTCAATCTTCTTTACCTTATAGGCGAGATTTCACTATAGTTACCACACTTGGCAGGTGGGTCATCAACCGCAGTGTTGTATAATTTACAGTTGCTATCAGGAAGATGCTGCTGCATATCTCCTTTCGCATCCTTCAGTCGCCTCATCCAGACACCCACAAGCTGAAATAGTGTTACGTCACAAATTTACAGCAATTCCATTTTCTACCGACTTCAAAAAGGAGACGGTACGCAATTCGACTGTATGTTTTTTTATGTATAACTTTTTACTGGGTGAACCGATTTCGATGATCCTTTTTTTATTTGAAAGCTGGTGCTTCATATGTGGTCCCATATAAATTTAATCAAGGTCTGTCCAATAGTTTTTGAGTTATTCTTTTAATATAAAATTTTAATAATAATTTATATTGAAGTCGGTTGTACAAAGTTTTTAATTTTAAATTATTCAACAAATGAAATTATGACTATGGCATTACAATTTACCTTATTTTGCCAGCCAATACTAGTGATACAGAATAGAATATAATATAATAGAATAGAAAAGAATAATTTTTATTCAATACTAGCGATCTGCCCCGGTTTCGCACGGGTGATTTCTGGATCTTGATAACAGCGCCACCTACCGGGTCCAATCGTGAATATAAACCATCCAGGGACCCATTCAAACACACACAATAAATTTCATCATCGGTAGAACCGTTTTCGAGCTTTAGGGAGACTAACTAAATTAAATTAAAATTAAAAATCATTTATTTCGGAACTAGTCCATATCGCACAACGAAAAACAACAAAATACACAACGAAATTAAAATATTAAATCTAAGTTATGATGTCAATTTTATGTGAATTACATAAAAAAATATTTCATTTAAATTAAATTATTACAATTACTTAAATTCATATAAAATACACAAACACAACAAACGTAATCTATTTCATGGTTTACATCCGGAGTGCTCGACATGCAGCCTGGTCCAGTGTCGCATTATAGGGCAATCCAGATCCATCCGCCAGGCGAACAGTTGCATGTAGCCATTTGAGCCGTCCCGTATGCGGCGCATCAGGGACCCAACTCGCTTCCGAAGTCATTTAAAATATAGAAAATGAAATATTATACAGAGGAAAGTTTGTTGATTACAGAAAGAAATAAAGTGAACATGTTCACTGAACTCAAATTCCACTCGGAGTGAGTGGAATTTGATTTTACTTCATTATAACCTAATTATATAACGACCGCCTACTAGGAACGCAGAACGCCTTCGAATGCCTTCTTTTTATGGTTCCGTACCTTGAAAAGAAAAAACAAAACCCTTGTAAGATCACTTTGTTGTTCGTCCATTCGTCCGTCGAAACACTCTTTCCCAGGCACTGATAGATACATCCATTTTAAATAATATCAAATACTGAAGTCTACGTCTTATGGAGATGTAAAAAAATTTACCAAAAATACGGTCTTTTGATACTCGCAAACTCACTCATTAAGACCTGTACATGAAGTACACAGTTGACCTAGAAACATGGAATTTGGCAAGAAGCAAGGTCTTACAGTTACAGTATAAGTAAAGGAAAAAATCAAAAAATCGTAAAGTTTTAATTAAAAATCGTAAATTTTTAGTTCTTTAACATAGCATAGATTTTTGAGATTGCAATCTTATATTAATTTGTAGTTGGAGCATCGACCATGACCTGTAGACCAATATGTGCAAAGCTACTCGTATGAAACCCAAATGACTTTTTGGTTAGAGCAATGTTCGCTGCTTAACTCATAATCTCCATACATAAATAAGTTGGTACGGAACCCACAGGAGTGCGAGTCCCACTCGCACTTGTCCTTTTTTATTTTCGTTCTGTGGCGAGAATCAGAACAAATATGGTCAGCTCATACGATTATGTTAAATATAGTTGCGATGCAGCACTGAACGCGTGAGTGACGGCTCCAATGTTTTTACGAGTAACCCTGGCTTCATGTCCGTCCGTGCTGCGAGAAATACTAAGAAGTGAAGCTTATGAAAGTATAAATTACAAAAAACGACGACACGATCGCTAAGGTAAAAAGTTTCCTCGACCGACTAGTTAATTTTGCGTTCAATTTCAAGTGATCCGGTTACGTTGCGTGTTTCTATATAACTTGTTTACTGCTCTTTTAAAGTTATTGTATATGAAAATTTATCACTACTTCGGAAGGTATCATGCAACGCATAATATTTATTAAGATTAATCATAGATAATGCGAATTTGTAATTATATGTATATGACCAAAATATATTAATTGAAAGGATCATTAAATATAGAATAAAAAGTTTGAAAAGTGAGATATTCTGTAATTTTGAATGTCGTAAAGTAGGCGAACTTTAGGGCTGCCTCCCACTAGATGGTGTGACGACATGGTAAGATATGCAGGAAGTCGATGTATGCAGTTGGCACAGGAATGTGCTTTTGTGGCATTTCTTGGGGAGGTCTGTGTTCAGTAGTGGACTTTTGAAAGGCTGAATGCCGAATGAAAGAAAGTGGACTAAACTTCAATTTGGATTTAATTTAATGTTAGGATGCGATAAAATCTAAGATCGCCAGCACGTCATTCGTTAAGAATTTTGCGTTCTAAAATTACGACTTATATACGTCCCACGGCTGCAGACTAAAATATACTATAAACGTATCTTATTAACATTATCTTTAAACGGGCTCTCATTACTATTCTTTGTTAATGTGCTTTGTATTTTATATACTTCGAACATTAACTTCGTCATTCGCCTAGTGCTCGTAAGCGCGACTGCTGATGTTGCGGTAACGGGTCGGACCAAAATTAGTCATTGGATTATTCTGTCAAGAAGTTCTCAGTAGCTCGGAGTCAAAGTTGGCGGTACAGCTTGTGTCTCGGAAACGTTGTAAAAACGTTGGTCCCGCGCCTGATTCTCTCCGGTCGTCTCGGACGATGCGGTTCTATCGGATTTTAAGGATAAAAGGAATAGAGAGTGCACCTGTTCTTGCACACACACTCGTGGACGTAAATCCTGTCCCAAGTTTTGTCTCTATTGGACGGAATTTCGGTCAGGAGGATATTATTTCCATTATTACTTGCTAAATTGAACATAACTAATGTAGGGGACGATTTAATTGCCCCGATAGAGTTTCAACATAATTTTAAGGAAGAAAATTAAAAAAAAATTATTATCATGATAATTGATTGGATAAATATATAAACAGGTTTATTTTTCAAAGATTAGCCAAATTTTAAACTTAATTTCAAATACATATATAAATAATGATATACCGTTATCGCAGTTTTTGAAAATACGATAAGGCTTCTACTTTTATATGAAATTATCCCCAATTGAATGTGATTTATGGGCAACAACGTTTTTGCCTACCGACCGTCCCTTACGAATGTGTGAGTGAACAGTAAAATCAGTTAAAACTAATGCATTACCACGCATTTTGAATTTAAAAGCCAAAAAGGACAGAATGTTTGAGACTTTTCTGCCGATTTTCAAAAAGGAGACGGTATTCAATTCGAGTGTATGTTTTTTTTATGTGTGTTACCTCATAACTTTCTACTGGGTGAACCGATTTCGATGATTTTTTTTTATTTTTTATTATTTCGAATTTGACCAAGGTCAGACCAATAGTTTTTGAGTTATTCGTAATAACGTATATTGAAATCGGCTGTACAAATTTTTTAATTTTAAATTATAAATTATTTAATTAATTTTTCTTCCCCATTTGCCTATTTTACTCGTACTTATTCTGAACCTTCTCTGCAATTTTTTGTCGGTTATCGCAAAATAACCCTGTATATATGTATATATCTACTATCACTAAATCGCTGTTTAAGCGTGTAATTATTCATATGCAAGGTGCATATGAATGTTGTCATCGAGGACATATTTTATAAATTCGTTGTTATTTTAAAATTTTTAAAAAATAACCATAATTGAACAGTTCACACTCGCGGTTGACCCGGCCAGCGGCCAGTGTTGGCCAGGTTGAATTACGTTTATTCTTTTAAATAAAAGTTTATCCGTTTCTACAGTATATTAATGCACAAAACAATTCCTCAATGGTTTGCTCTTTAATTTTTTTGCACATTTTTAACTCTTTTAGTAATCTTTCTACTTTTATGAAGTACAGAGAGGCACATTAATCTGTACATTTTTGAACGAGTTAACTTCCCCGCTATGAAAGCTGTCAAATATAAAAACACCTCACTAGTATACAGTTATCTGTGCACCTCATTTTTAAGTGGTGGCGCCTTGGTGGCAGAAAAAGTCGTGGATGACATCATTTAACCGTATTGTCCAGAAATTTGATTTGATTTGATATTTAAACCCACAAAAACAAAGTTATTGTGGCAGAAGCCTTATTATATAATGTAACGTATTAAATTTTATGAAAATTCAATGTATATTTTGGGATTACCTGTTATTTTTCTGAATTCTATCATACTTGGAAACAAACTGACAAAAGAGCCTCTGAATATTTTTGCAATTGGATGGATATTTTGTCCAGTGTATGGGTTGAAGTATTTCTGCATATTACGGTGCAATTGCGGACAGTAAGGTAAATTTTTCATAGCTACGCACCTTACTAGATACAATATAGCCGAATTTGCCGTAACCGAATGGTGATCGTAATTCTAGTCTTTGACTGCATTTTAGACGCTTAGCGAAACAAGTAGAAAAATTAA